AAAATCTTGTTTCTTAACCGCTGAAATTATACCTTTATGTCGATCTGAGATTAAGAATATACCAGCTTTATTCGGCACAACAGAGTGGCGTAGATGATATAGAAACCAACTCCATCTTTCACTAGTCTCCTCATGAACAAAGGCAAATGCTAGAGGAAAAATTTTCTTCTAAGCATTAATCCCAATAGCAATAAGAAACTTATGCTTGTACTTGTCATTTACAAATGTGTCATCGATGCTGATTACGGGTCGACAATGAACAAACTCATCAATAGAAGCTTTGAATGCCCATAACACTTTTCAAATATATCGAATTCAAGATCACAAGCCTCATATTGCCACTTTACAATCGTCTCAGGGTTGTATTTCACAAGAGCACCTATAAACTTCGGCAAAATGTTATAAAAACAATCCTAGTCACCGAAAACCTTAGCTATAGCATTATTCTTCGCATTCCATGTCTTCTTGTACGTTATCAAATAATGATACTATTTTTTCACCATTTCAATGATAACAGGCATTGTTACATCAGGTGTAGCACAAACCACACCCTCAATCCATTGAGAAATAAAACCTGCGTCAAGCTGACAGTGGTCCTGATTCAACCTTGGGTAGAAACAAGTGTGAGGTGCCTGATATTTTGTGATCTAAACATTCCATGCTTAGCCTTCAAAATTGCTCGTAACCTCTATTTGCACCCACATTGTGCATACATCTTGCACCTCAACACCCAACGCATTTTATTTGTATCAACAACAACATATTGTTGGTGCATCTTAATTGAATACAATTTAACTATCATCTCCAACTGTTTTTTAGTCCTAAACACCATACCCTTAGCCAGTTCTGGTCTTGTAGGATCCCATGTTTTAATTCCATACAAAATGCACAAGCTGTCAACTTCATTCTGGTTTTACGATTCAACGTTTGAGAAAATGTTGACTCCAGCTCATGTATAAGAACCTCACCATCATCCTCAACAGAATTACCTTCAGCATCATAATCATCACCATCAGAGTCATCACTCAATAAATCTTCTGCTAACTCTTCTTGTTCGTAGTAATCATTCCGGTCATTAGCACACATTCCTTCATATGTATTATTATCAATCTGATGCACTACAAGTGCTTGGACAGGGTCCACTGGCGCTGGTGTTAGGATAACTGGAATGATTTACATCCCCTCGTTACCCATAACATCCCAATAGTCTTGTTGGGATAAGCATTCAGGAAAAACACTAGGCCCTGTTTCAAACTGTGCATGTGTATATCGATTGTATTCTTCCATATACTGCATTGTTACAGGGGTGTAATAATTATCCCCTATGGCTGAAGGGTCAAGCACTAGGATATATGATTCTTGGCTGAGCATGGCAATGTATGAACCAACAGCAGACCAACCTTCATTACTTCCACCAATGTCATCTGCCCTAACCTCTTCGCTTACATACAAATCAACTTTGTTAACACCTTGATTGTCAAATACAACATCCACCATTGCCTCCACACTATCGTTGTCAATAACTTCTAGTGGAATATATGTATAAAGGTTAGCTCCCAATACAGTAGGAAACTTACAGATAAGTTTGAGGTTGTATTTATTCCTATCTATCCCCGTCACATCATGCAACCTATTAACCAATGCCGAGTAAGTTGTGTCATGCGCAACCTTTATCACATGCTTATAACCATTATCATATCGTAAAACATCATGGTTATTGAATATGGTACCACCCCAATAAATCATCACAGAAGCACGTCTTCCAGCCATTATTAATAATTCTACAATAAATACATCAAAAATTAGTGTGTATACACAACCAAAACTTTTCTTTCATCGAAACTTTTGCTTGTTCATGTTTTGAAATATAAATAAACCTGGTAGCTCGTTCCAATTTTCAATCACCCAATAATAAGGAAGGAGCACATTAAGTACATAAAATGGTTGACACTTACATCAAGAAAATAATCTATAAAGACTGCTAATATATTTTTAAAACTCCCAGAATAATTATGAAAACTTGAAAATTTTAACTCGCCAATTTTAATAGAAACTTTTTTGTCCTTCCTAAATTAAATTTGATATGCTCCTGTCAATTAATACCTTAAGTATTAGGACTCCAACACTATGCAAAATAGACTACACTCATTCATTCAATCATGACTGGTTTGGGGGGAAGAGATGGAAAAGTATAGCAAAAAAAATTCTTAAATTTATTTCCTAAATTTATTCCCACTCATGTGCTTGATATTGTGACATAGTAAGTAGAGTAACATATGAAAGAAATTAACACTTGTGAATAGGAAATCCACCTTCCACCAAACTAGTGACGTTATTAGCAACAATGATGCATCTTCGCTAAAAATTGTTACTAAAAATTTTAGTGAACTGTGGGTATATCATATCTCATTTTTTATAAAATCATGTTGGAAGCTATGTTATTTTATCATGGGAAATTGGATGTGTGATTTACAAGTTTCGATACAACTAGGCAAATTGATGAGAAAACTTACAGTTATATAAACTTAGTTAATATTTTCATCAATATTTGCCTAAATACCTCAATCATTGTATGTTGGCATATTAATGGGTTTTTCTCTTTAACTTATGTGGTTATAACCATATATACATACTATTTTTTAACATGTTACTCTACCCTGTATTCACATGTGTAGTACTTGGGCATCCCTTAATAGAGTGTATAAAAAAATAAACTAAGTTATGCAACAATGTAGCACACAAGTTCCAACTTTTTCTAACAAACTTTATTCATTTAAACGTTGCAGGGATAATAATGGTTGTAACACATACTTTAACAAACTTTTTGAGATATGTTTGGTGTCGAGGTTGGCTAAAATAACAAGTAATTAACCATTCGAATACATTATTTTGTTCATACTACTTAACTATTACTACTTAAAGTAATAGTTAAGAAATGCAGAAGTACTATGATCAATATATGGTTAGGATACCTAAAGCCATTACGAAAAATCTCAAAGAAACATTCCCAATGATCGACTTAAAGATATTACAATGAATATGGACTTTACAAAATCTCTCAAGAGGGAATGTTGTGGGATGAATGAATAAAAAACAAAAAAAAACTAAAAAATTAGGCTACCTAGTTCACTGTTGCACAATTTTATTCCACGACACAAAAATTATCAAGCCCAGAAAAAAAAATTGTCTAATTTGTTAGAAAACTTTAATCTTAAAGAATAAAACCACAAAAGGATCTAAAGCTCTGTGGAGAAAATGTAGAATACTCAAAAGAAATTTGGGGACTACCACGAATATCAGATAAGCAAGACTGTTCTTATACTGTTAACGTACACTTATATAACAACCACGGTACTGAAAGTAAAGTTGTTAACAATTCACTTAACTGAACCAAGGTCATGACTTGGTTATACAAAATAAGACAACAAATATAATAAATAAAAAACAATGCATGTTTCATGCTTCATTTGGAACTCTATTATAGCCTCATCTCCCAAAAACATGCGTTATATGTTTTCATGCAATACGATCATAGCAAATGTCCATACCAACCAATTTCTATATAAGAAAATCCAACAAATATTCCGTAAGAATTATAATCAAATTAACTTATCATTAAGCCACTTAATGCTACAACATTTACAAAGTTCACATTTAAATGTTCAGAGTTCAAAGGATTCATCATTGGGAAAGAGGCAATTACGGTGTCTACCATGAAATCATCAATATATACTCATACTATGTTATATTCATCAGGCTGCGCAAGGAAAACTAGTTTTCCATAATTTAAGAGAGATCTCTGAAACTGCCAGAACTGACTCTGGCAGTCTGGTGAAGGTAAATGTCACCACAGTTATTGAACAGAAGACAAGCAATTAATCTTATTCCCAACATGATTGAGTAGTAAGTGGAAAAATTTATATCAGATTAGTACATTATCTCCTAATAGTCATGATAAAGGTAGGGCAATTTAACTCATACTCAGTCAACTCCCTAGCCCACAACAGAAATTTGGAATCTTACATTAACTTTCCAGTTGGAATGGTTGAATAGGATTGCAAACTGTTCTTGCCTTTCCCCTTTGCTCATGGCAACATCGTGGATCATTACTGATTTAAAAGCTAGTCAAAATACTAAGAAACAACTTATTTCGATATCACATGACTCACATTGTTCCATATTTAAACTCAAAATCATGAATTAAGGGGCCACTATAGGAAACACGACAATCATGATATATGGTTAGTTGCCAAGTAAAATACATCAGATCAATTTCGTCAAGCACACACTGATATGTCATTTTTTTCTAGTTTTATGTCATGAAAAGGGATTCCTTTTAAATCTAGCTTGAGTATCGAATTAACTGCATAAAGAACCCATCAAAACAATCTAGCAATTCAAAGAATGATTATACAACATATATCCACATATAACAGAGGCATTTCATCGAATAGGTAATGTGGATGATTATGTTCTTAACAGAATATGATTCTTCGAATTTGTGCCTAGAAATAAGCAAAAAAAAAAAAAGTGAGTGAGGAGGGATATTCTGGAACCTACTATTATTTCTTGCTTTTCAAATCACCCATACACAATGCACCATCACAGTAAGTGAAATTTTCTTAGGCTGGACGCTAAAACTCCAATTCTTAAAAAGAGCCAATAATTCTTTATGATTTTGGACGATGAAATTCCTACAGAAAATAGAACTTAGCCAACACCATAGTTCCTGAGCAAAATTACAAGAGAAAAACAAGTGCCTCAAAGATTCAAAAGCACAGGCATAGAACAAAGTGAGCACTTGAAAGCCGCCACCACACCACGTAATCGAAGATACTCATCTAAAGGCATCCTCTCATGCATTAAGCGCCAAAATAACAGAGACATCCGTGGATGTCATTAGCAAAATTTTGTTAGGTCTGATAATAACATACCCGGTGTTCTTGATCGATTTAGGGCAAAATCTCTGACTCGTTGATGAACAGGCTGGATCTCGGTGGATGAAGATGCAGGATCTCTCGGTGGCTGGATCTAGGTGGTTCTCGCTAGATGAACAACGCTTGGGGCTTGTTGGATCAAGGGTGGTTGGAGCTCGTCGGAGAAGCCGCTGGATCCTGGTGTTTGGTGGAGGAGGAGAGGTCACCGTCGTTTGTGGAGGAGGAGAAGTGAAAACAATTGTTCGCGGAGGAGAGGTGAAAATTTTTTAAAATTTTTAACCTAGGCAGTGATTTGGAGATTGTACGTGACGTCCAAACCGTCAGCGTAAATGACGTTTTTAAAAATATCATTTAAAATGATGTTTTAAATTTTTTTTGTAATTCTTAACGTCTGTTAATAGTGCTATTTAAAAATGTCACGACGATTTAAAAAAATATTATTTTAACTGACGTTTTCAAGAAAAAAGTTTAAACTACAAATTGTCATTTCAAATGACGTTTTCAGATGAAAAGACATTATTTTAAATGACGTTTTTAAAAAAAGATTGAATTTGAAAATTAAATTTAAAAGTGACTAGTTTTGAGGGGCATGGATTTTGGGAAAACCTCTATTATTTATCCCTTAATTCAAGCTCATAAAATTTAAAATTCAAATTCAAGAGTCAATTTTCTTGTTCTTACCAATAAAAAACCTATAAGGAATCTTCTTCCTTGTGTCACTAGCAAGCCGTCGTATTAATCAAATTCATCCCTATCAAAATATTATGGTCATAGTGTTAATGCTCAAATCCATTCAATTTGAGCAACAGAGTCACCAGAGAGAGAGAAAAAAATAAATAAATAGTCATATTCTATATATAGATATAGATAGATATGAGAGAGAGATAATTTAATGTTAGTCAAACTCCTGATTAATTTTTAAATTTATTTTAATTAAACATAATTGTTAGAGGTATTTTGAACAATAAAGATCAAAATAAACTTAATATTAAACAAATTTTTTTAATATCATCAAATTTCGCTCAAACAAAAACAAAAACAAAACAAAAGAGAGATAGAAGGGAAAGGAAGATCTTAATGCAATAGGAGTTGAATTGGGTTGGGCCTTGACTTAGACCACCCCAACTTGGAACCCTGCTTGGCCCAACTGTCATATTCCCTCCTTTGCCCCTTCTCTCTCATCTTCCCCACCTTGAATGATATTCTAAAACCCTGATTTCAGCCTCGCCCATCTGTGGCAGGGTTTTGAGCTTCAGACCCATAACAGAATAGCCGATACTAGGGAAACACCATAGACCAATTCTCTAACTCTCTTTCTCTCTCTTCGTGGCTCTTTTCTCTCCCTTCAACAAGCTCAGAAACTCATGGCCTCCTCGCCACCATCAAAGCCCCCTTTATGGTGGCTATGACCAACTATACGCTGATACCAAAAATTCCATCTGTTTCTTCCCCCAATGAATTCAGGAAGAATTATAACCTCCAAGCAATTCACCATCTTATCACCCATTAAGCGTCCGTTAACCTTCATAACTTCCGGTGCTCAAAACCACTACCACTACCACCACCAACACAACAACAACAGCAAGCACAACCACCACCAAAGCCACCGCATGACCACCCAGAAGATCCACACAAGCAAATAAAGGCATTTGATCACAGTTTCCTCAAGTGGGTAGCTTCGGTTCTTTCAAGCCCATCTCTAGATTCATCTAAGTGTAAAGATATACTAACCAATTTGTCTCCACACCAATTTGATACTCTCTTTTGCGATATTCAATTCTCTGTAAACCCATTAACTGTTTTGAAATTCTTTTATTTTTCATCCGAATCTTGCTTCTTTAGATTCACTACTAGGTCATATTGTGTGTTGATTCGTTTGCTTATTGCTTCAAATTTTGATGCACCTGCTCGGTTGCTTTTGATTCGGCTAATTGATTTCAAACTACCCGTACTGTTTAATAACCCCAATAATAGGCATTTTGAAATAACCATTGCATTCGCAGAATTGAATTCAGTTTCAGAGTGGAAACTTGGTGTTATGACATTTGATTTATTGGTTCATGTTTATTGCACGCAATTCAAAAATCCTCGATTTTGTATTGCATTGGATGTTTTCCGGTTGTTGGCGAGTAAGGGTCTGTTTCCCTCATTGAAGACATGTAATGTGTTGTTGAGTTCTCTTGTGAAGGCAAATGAGCTTGATAAAAGCTATGAAGTGTTTGACCTCACGTGTCAAGGTAGTGTACCCGATGTTTATGTATTTAGTACTGCCATAAACGCATTTTGTAAAGGAGGGAGGGTTGAAGATGCAATAGGGTTATTTTTTAAAATGGAGGAGATGGGTATTGATCCGAGTGTTGTCACTTATAATAACCTTCTTCATGGACTTTGCAATAATGGGAATCTGGAAGAAGCTTTCCGGTTCAAAGAGAAAATGATAAAAAATGGCATAAAGCCAAGTCTTATAACTTACAGTGTACTTATTAATGGTTTGATGAAGCTGGAGAAGTATGATGAGGCCAGTTGCATTTTGAAAGAAATGTCGGGTGAGGGGCTTGCCCCGAATGAAGTTGTTTATAACATGTTGATTGATGTGTATTGTAAAAAGGGAAATGTTAGTAACGCGCTGAATATAAGGGATGAAATGATATCCCGGGGAATTGATACCAATTCTATTACACTCAATTCTCTTATCCGTGGACTCTACAAGATTGATCAGATGGATGAAGTGCAAAAGCTTTTGGAGGAGATGCTATCAAGGGGGCTATCCATAAATCCTGGTTCTTTTACTTCAGTTATTCACCTGCTATGTGTAAATTCAAAATTCGATGCGGCTCTACGGTTTATGTGGGAGATGATTTTGAAAGATTTAAGGCCAAATAATGGGTTGCTGACCACATTAGTTGGTGGCCTTTGCAAGGAAGGTAAGCATTCAGCGGCGGTTGAACTATGGTTTAGACTACTGGAGAAAGGATTTGCAGCAAATACAGTGACCTCAAATGCTCTTATTCATGGACTATGTGAAGCAGGTAACATGCTGGAGGCTGTAAGGCTTCTCAAAGTGATGCTAGAAAGGGGTTTACAACTGGATAAGATAACTTACAATACACTCATCTGTGGGTGTTGCAAAGAGGGGAAATTGGAGGAAGGTTTCAGGCTGAGAGAGGAGATGGTTAAGCAAGGAATAGTACCAGACACTTTTACTTACAATTTGCTAATTCATGGGCTATGTAAGAAGGGTAAGATGGATGAAGCTGTGATGCTATGGAATGAGTGCAAAAGGAATGGTTTGGTTCCCAATATCTATACATATGGAGTCATGATAGATGGGTTTTGTAAAGCTGATAAAATTGAAGACGGTAAAAATCTCTTCAATGAGTTGCTCAGTCAGAAAATCGAGCCGAATTCTGTTGTCTATAATACACTCATTAGAGCCTACTCCAGAAATGGGAACATGACAGAGGCCTTTAGGCTTCGTGATGACATGCGAAACAAGGGCATTCCATCAACTTGTGCCACATATTCTTCTCTGATTAATGGAGTTTGCAGTATTGGTCAAGTTGATGACGGAAAATTCCTCATTGATGAAATGAGAAAGGATGGCCTGTTGCCGAATGTTGTTTGTTATACTGCACTGATTGGTGGTTATTGTAAGTTAGGTCAGATGGATAAAGTAGGGGATATTCTGCGGGAAATGTCTTCAAATGGGATACAGCCTAATAAAATTACATATACTGTCATAATTGATGGGTATTGCAAATCAGGTGATATGAAAGAAGCTGCTAAGTTTCTTGATGAGATGGTAGGAAAGGGAATCAGCCCAGATGTTGTCACTTATAATACGTTGTCTAGTGGTTTTTGCAAGGAAGGGAAGGTAGAACTAGCCTTCAGAATATGTGATCATATGTCTCACAAAGGAATAGATTTGGATGAAGTTGCTTACACTACTTTAATTCATGGATGTAACCCGCCATCAGCAAATGCAAATGAAGAATGATCTAGAACTCCTACAAGGTCGTGTTTTCACATGAACTGCTCTACTCAATATTTCATTGGATCTGTAATCAAATTGCTTAAAGGATTCTACTGATTTATCTTTGGCAGCCAGTTTCTGGGAGTACTCGGTTATATGGTGAAGTTATGTGCTGTCGATTTTGCTCTTTTCAAGGCAAACTGGTTATAAATCATGGGGCAGTGTTACCTCACCTTCGAGAACCTCTTGTTCTTTAGGTAAGGTCTTCATTAGCATGATATTACCTCTATAAGTTCTCAATTTAACTTGTTCTTTTCACTGATGTCTTATCTCTTCTAAACTGGTTCAGATTTTCTCCATATGCATCAGGGGAGTGATGTGTTTACTGATCAAATGATTGTTGCAGCAATAGTCTCATTATTTTAGTAAGTCTATTGACTCAATTGAATTTATATGACATGCTCTGCCTTGTTGATAATTGTCCTTGTATTTGTAGGTGTTCTTTGATCATTGTTTGAGCTTGTCCAAAATTTGAACCACATCCTTTTGTTTTATGGAATATCCATCTGAAACTTTAAACTAGAATCCTTGAACCACTTGCACTTATATGCATTGGTCTTACAACCATGTTGCTAGCTCGGGCTTTATTTTGCACAAAATTGGGGTCACCAATGTGTAGCATATCCCTATGCATGTTTATGCATAAGCAAAGGCATCTTAAAGTTTGCATTTGAATAGAAATTCAACAATAACTAAAGAGTACATTCACCGGTGAAGTTCATGTGGTGGTAGTGGTCAGATAATAATCGGCTGATAAACTAGCCCTTATTAGCATGTCAACATTGCTATATATGTCTTATTTCTCTTTAAGATTTGGTGGTGTTAATGAAAAGAACTGTATAAATTTCAGAGAAAGCTCCCCATTTTTTTTTCCAAAGTATTGCTAGAAGGTAGAACATCTTCTAAAAATAAGTTGGTGCTAATGTTTAGGTCACTAGCTTTGGCTAATTATGCAATTCATTCTTACTTAGATTAGTGGATATATAGTTCTGTTAACCGGGTTTGCTGGTTGAAACTCTCGAGCTTTATTATGTTGGTCTTTGGAAGGGCATTATTAGGGTGGCAAGTGAAACAGTAAAATATACTTTTTAATACTTTCACAAGATATTAAATCAAAATTACGCTAGATAATCAAGGGTGTTGATTATTTTTACACAAATCTGACATATCCAACTTGATCTGTGACCCAAGTATGTCAAACCAGCTTCTTTTCAGCAAAATTACCACAAGTAATGCATGGCCATAGTTGATTTTTAACCTCCACACCCTTAGAAGATGACTTCCGTCCTTTTTATGTTCAATACATTGCCCTCTATTTTTTAAGAACAATTTTATAGTTGTTCCTGATCCTTTTTTGGTAATTTAGCAGTCCGTAACCCAATAAGATGCAAAAGGTGAATACCTTGACCCAAAAACTCTTCACACTCTTTCACCAGAATCAATTTCTTGACATGATGACGGGTGATTTCAAGTGGGCATACAAAAAATTAAGAATGATTTTGTTATGGACTCTGTGATGTTGTACAAATGGTAGACGTTTTTTAAGATCTGAAAGAACGTTGTGCTCTACTTTAATATGTGACTAAGTTTCTATCGTTTCATATAGCAATTTAGTCTTTAATTTACTATATTTTTATCATGAACTTAAAATTTTTTTGTATCAGTCGGTGAATTGTATTGGTCATGTCCCCCCTACAACCAAAAAAAAAAAATGAGAATGCTGGATCCACCCCTGATTTTCATGGCAGTATATTGTACTTGATTAGAATGAACTTCTGCAAAATGAGAATGCTTTCTAGGTAGCAATCCTGGTTGAATTTCTTCACTTCCAATTTTAAGTACCTGATGCATGGGTTTTATGGTGATGTCAACTCTTCTAAAAGATAGCAATCCCTGTCAAGCCAAGGTTTGACGAGAAGTTTTAATCAGAATTACATATGATCAGACATCAGCTCATGAGCTGTTCGCTGCTTATCAAATGCAAAAATGGATTGTACTCATCTCATTTTATCTTTATTCCCCTTTTTATACCACTTCTCATGCGTGAAATGGGTCTGCAGGTGGACCTTAGGAATAAGATGTCCATGCCCAAATTGCTTAAGCATGATCCCATGGGTCCACCTTGATGCTTCTGCCTTCATTAGTTTCATGGGCATAATGGACTTGTACCTGCTAAAGATATGTTGTCCGTGATTACCTGCTTGTGCCATGAATTACTCTGCTATGGGTGACTGGTACACAATGATACTGCAATATGAACCCGCCCTGGGCTCTCAATGCAGGACAGATATTTAATGGACAGGATATGCTCATCTTTAATAGTTGAATATCTGGTGAAGTCAGTCAATGCTTGTTTTCTTCACACGTGTTCATAATATTCAGGTATTTCGGTACCCTATCAATGCAAAAAATTCTGCAAGCATTTTTGTGCTAATCTTATCTAAACTTCTCGAAACTACTGATAGTTGACAGTTTGATGAAACAGAATTCCAGTATTGCCTACCAGCTCTCAGTCTGACCTATTCAGAATCAGTTCCTTGCTCTATGTTGTTTTCTTGGTGAGAAGTTTTAAACTTTGTATACTTATCCTTTAGTCATGATACTTTATGTGAGGAGAAAAAAAGGAGATGAGAATGAAATACCTGCGTCCAAAAATGTAAGAAATGCAAAAGAAGTGGGAAAAAGATCCAAGTATTTTCATAACCTGGAATTCCTTTTTCATACATATTTCCATTGGTGCTGGATAACTTACAACACCATTATATAAAGTAGTTTTTGCACTTGGTTGGCATGCTCTGGAAGTGAATTTATAATTCAATATGTAAGGTGGACAAAGTTGCCTTTCTTGAACTGTATATTACATGACTCAATTAGATGAACTTTAAAATGCTTCTTACATGATTTGAATGCAAACTTGCTTATTTGTTTCATGTTCCTGTGCAAGGTATGATTTTGGCTTCTACTTGTATACCAGTACATTAATTTTGCGTTCTATGATCCTATGAGATGGGTTAGCAGCTGCTGCATGTTGACTTTTCCACTTGTGAAAGCAAGAAAACACATTGCCCGCTGGATTGAGTTTATAGAGATGTGAAGCTATTTATTCAGTATTGCTGCAAAAAATACTAGTTATCGTTGAAGTTTTAAGGTAGGGAAATAACTCAGTAAAAATTATGAATTTCTATAGAGTGAAATAGTTTGGTATAGAACTTTCTGTTTTTCTTTGGTATATAATATTTTCATCAATCTTTTTTAATCTCTCTTTAACGATTGGCCTGGTTTCTGTTGGAAAATAGACAAGCTCAGAAGAATTCAGCTGCCATTGATATGTTCGAATACTGTACATATCATCAAGTCCCTCTGTCTATGATTATGGCTTCTTCATACTTGTTTTTCTATTTCTGACTAACCAACACCCTTATTTCTTCCTCGACACATTTCATGCTTTTAGGATGAAAAATTATGCAAACACATAACTACACTGTAATGTTTGTTGTATTCTGACGTTATAAAATAATTGTTGATGGTCATGCTGTCTTCACATCGTTGCATTTGAGGATTAATCTGAATCTTTCAAGCTTAAATTTGTCTGTTAAGTTGCCAGGGAAACCATATAAACTCTCTCATTCACAGTGCATGGTTACCAAATTATGTTTTCATTTCCTTTTTATGTGCTTACTGTCTCAGGAATCGGATGGTAGAGCAAGAAGGGGAGGTTCCGATTGTATAGGCGCGTTGTACTGTTGGTGAAGCCCAGTTTCGGGTTATATCAGAGAATGCACATAAACCCAAGGAAAAAATATGAAACTATAACAAAGAAAAGGGGTTGGTGTAATAAGCAGGTGAGTGCTTGTTTTTTCGTCAATCAGGATATCTACAATTGTACTCGAAACAATAAACATGATGTACAGAGGAAAATAAAACCTTTGTTTGATTTGTATATGATATGCAAACAACTGGTATGGTATCTTAATATGTCTATTTGGCCAACCAACAGAGGCTTGAGTTTCTGATGCTACTTGGAAAAATAGCACAAAATATTGTTCATTAAATTAAAACCCCATTAGAGATAAACTTTGCACAATTCATAACAAATCATGACTGTGACTGCCACGGCCCCACGTGATGAATCCTCTCCCCTGAATGTAATTAACCGTTATCTCACATAGAGCAGCCCCTCTGTATTATTAAACTCTTTTGGGGGTAAGTTTACAGCATTATATGGAGATTTACAACTAAATAAGGGATGAGTTGCTACTTATTTGAGTTCAATTACAACTCGATGGAGTCAAGATTCAACTTAAAAAAATTGGTGTGGATCCTAAAGTTAAGATCAATTTGAAATAACGTCATTTTGTTGTAAACTCGTCAGATTCAGTTGGAATTTCGCCTTTGTTTTGCAATAATTTTTGTGGTATTGATACGTAACTCTTTGGTACCATAGTTTTTCCCACTCTTTTGGGGATTGCGTTTCAAAAACTTCAGTGAGGTACCTTATAGTCTTCCAAATGATGCTCTAATTTACAGTAATTTCAAAGGTTTAATCTATATATGTTCGGCTACATTATATTGATCCTTTTCTAGTGGGAAATGCTCACGTTATAAAATGCTCAACTTCTTGCATGTTCTGAACAATACAGGTAAGAGCTAAAGCTGTAAATGATTTGCATCCATGGGCTGAAAAACATGATCAGGATCTGATTCTAATGCAGCAACCATCTCTGGCCACAAGATTGCAGACACAGTCCAAGAACCATCACCCCTTGCACTTTGCCTTTGGTTCATATACCCGACTCCAATCTTCTCTATGGTAGAACAGACAGTGCCCACCACTGGGTTCCCGAAACCAAAGTCCAATTCAGCCACCGGAAACCTTCTTCCTGATGACACCACTAGGGCAGGGCCCCCGCGGCCTAAAACAATCTTCGATAGCATCAATCCTGGCCTGTGGCATTCGATCCAATCGATCAAATCCAAGAAATGAGTTTCAGTAGTTACCTTGTTAATGGCTTCATGGACAATCTGGGCAACTTCTTTTACAGACCCTTGCTTCAATTCAGTCACCCTTGCCTCCGCAAAAGCCAGAGACAATACATTTCCAATGTAATTGCTCATGGAGTTCTGATCTTTAAGCAACCTAGTTCTTCCATCGACTAGCCACCCCATCATACATTTTTCGTGGCTTTTATCGATTGCAGTAACCAGAATCTTCCAGACATAAGCCGAGAAAGCCTCAATTTTTGTTCTTTTCTCACCATCAAGATCTGCAAGTCTTTGCAACATGTTGATACTTGAAACATCGACGTAATAAAGGCGTTTGAGCAAGATTTTTGGTGTTGGAATGTTGGTTATGTCTTCTATGGAGCAGGAGACAAAGGTTTGGTCTAAGGATGGATCGTAAGTAGGAGGAACTCGGGCACGAAGATGTCTACTGTGGTCTGGAGAGCATGAGATTGTCTTCTTTGTGGCGATTTCAGACCATGTCACTAGGAATTTACTAAATGCACTGGCATCTCCCAGTGCATGATCAAATGTAAACGTTATCGATATACCTCCACAAGTGTAACCTGTGACTTGGATTTGCAATGGAAAGTCATGATTGATAGTGACTAGTTTTCCCTGAAGAAATTGGTTAAGATTGTAGAAGTTCAGTTCTTTTAGTGAAATGTTAGCTTGTGCTTCTACAAGAAGGGTACCATTGTTGTCACAAATGATCTCAGGCTCACCGGTGTTCGGGTTTTGAACAATCTGACCAGCAAATGGGTAGAAATATCTAAGAGTTTCAGCAAGGGAATACTTGAGGGACTCAATGGTGGAAGTGAAATTATCGACAAGGGGTCTGCGGTAGAAATAAAAATATGTTACTGGAAAACGGCCGGAAAGAAGGTCGAGGTTTGAGAGAGTGAGAGTATGAGGCTCCGGCAAAGGACCGATAGCTTTTATGACAGTTTTTCTGTTGAAGTTCACTTCAAATGTGCCACAGGCTGCAGACTTTACTGCCATTAAAATGGTTGAACAATGATATCTTTTCTAAGGTTTTTTTCACTGTTTGAGGCAGTGGTAAGTAATATAACTCGCTGAAGTTACAAACATAACACAAATATATAGAGGATCAATAGCTGAATAGAGGAAGAGTTGGTGAAAAACTTTCAATATGGAGTACAATTTATATAGACAATGAATCAGGCCATTGTTCTGGTTTACATGGATTTTCCACTCTGAGCCATGCATGAGACATCAATTTGGTGCACTTAGCATTACTCAATAAATAATGATGAAAAACTAATGAAGACCAATGAAGTATTTCTTTAAAAGGATTGGAGCTATATGAGGGGACTAATGGCATCTCCAATGTTGATCCAAATTCAAACACAAATTTGAGCAAAAAGTTTTATTTGATATTAACTACTCCAATGGAAAAATCCAATTTCATACCCAAATCTTTTTAAAAAAAATCCTTATATCATCTTAAAAACTATTTTCTTTCATTTTTTTCCCGTCTTCATGCTTTATCAATTTCAGAATTCCAAAGACGTCAGTCGCTCGCCCAAGTCTTACCCATCATCTTCTTTAAGGTTGCTCGTCAATCTTTAATCATCCCCTCTTCAAGCTTTAATCATCTCCTATTCAAAGTTTTATCGGTTTTGGGTAGAACTACTAGCCATCATCTTCTTCAAGGTCCTCGAACTGGGGAGGAGTGGCGGAGGAGATGGAGGAGGAAGTTTTGGTTTGATGTTCCCTCAATTTGGGTTAAAGAAAGCGTTTTCTTTGATTTGATATAAGTTTGACTCTAATAGTGAATAGGGTTTTTAGGTCATTTTTACTCAAATTTAAATTTGAGCAAGGAGTAAAGATTGCCTAAATAGTGGAATGAAATACTTGTCCAAAGCTCACGAGTAAATATGTAATATAACGGTTACACTATGTCAGCATTGTCACTTAGCGAACATTAAACGGTAACACCCAATATTTTACTCCAAGTCCCACTTCCTGATCACTTTTAGCTTGACTGGACTTGGCTTCACTGCTCTTTCAACCTACCATCATAGCTTCTCAAGTGGCATTGAATTTTTTTAAGGAGGATTCAAATACTAACATGGTTCGGTCTTAAGACGTACATTTACATACACAAAACATTGAAGGTGCTTCATCTTTCAGATTTTCACTTGATTTTATACTTGACTCACACTGCAGGGCAAAGGAAATATTAAACGATGAAGTAATTAATCAGTAAGTATTGGAATCAACCTGTGCTTCTCACCTATCGATAATCGATCCTTTTAACAATCACGAAGATTTGATTGCATCATTGCACTCACCCATTAGTCATCTGTTTTTCAACAAGTGGGATGGTGCATGTGTTGTATGCAGAATGCTAGAGAAATGGCATTCTGCAGTGAGAGAGAGAGAGAGAGAGAGATGGCAATCCATTTAAGGAAAGAAATGAAATTATTGGAGTGAGAAAGAGATTGGGGGAGATGTCCCTTTCATCTTTCAGAGGTCACAAGTGGGCATTATAGCTGATTTGAGATTCAAGTCAAATTTGGTCTGTGGCATTTGCATTCTGAATAATGAATCTGTGTTGGTGGTGAACCCACTTTCTTTTCATGATAGTTGTGTCATTAATTGTTTTTTTTTAAATCATAAGTCGTAACAGAAATAAGAGTTTAATTCCTCAAAGTGAGAAAGAAAACTCGAACTCCACACACCTAATTAAGGTGCAGAACTAGAGGGGATCGCCACCAAATATCCATTTTATTTTAATCGAGTCATTGATAGAATAAAAAGAAAACAGTATCAAAAAATAGTTTTATAATACTGTAATACAACCCGCATCTTTTTGTCACTATAAACTTAATTTCAACAAGCTAATAGTGTTGGTGACAACATGCCCTCAGTCCATTCTTCTGGGAAGAGAAAGGACCAGTTGCACTAACATCATGTCAATAACTTTAAATCCTCAGTGGTAGTGCTTGTCCTCTTTTAAGTATTGACTGGCTTAGTGTTGCTCTCAGCTATCAACTTATCACAACCGCTCGTGTCAGCATCAGAAAAATAGCATGAAAAAGAAAATGAATTTCAACCCACATCATGAGAGGATTAGTTTTGGTCAAGTGAATGCAAATGCAATCTTTCTGTAAGATACCTCCAGTAATTCAACCATCATGGGAAGAATGTAACAAGATTTTTTTGTAGGATTAGTTTTTTGGCAAGTATAAACCATACAAAAAGATTGTTTATAGTGCATAAGTTTCCGATTTATAACAAGGTCTTGAGGATATAAGTAAAGTTGTTAATTGAATTGAGTCACTCGAGTTCGATTCAGATTCGGCTCGTTCAGGTTTGACTCGTTTTTTAAACAACCTAAACTTAAATAATTTTTTAGACTCGTTTGAAAACGAGTCCGACAGGGTTGACTCATTTATGTGCAAATATTTGGGTTCAGCTCGTTTTGGACTCATCCAGGCTCTACTTGTTATCTAAATGAGCATAACTTGAACAATTTTTTAGGTTCGGTTAAAAAAACGAGCTTTTTAAACTCATTCGCTATGTTATTTGATGTTAAGGCCCCTGAAACAAGTTATTGAATTGTTCCTCACCAAAAAAATGAGAGATATATATTACGTTCATCTCATAAAGAAAGTTCTTTTCACTCCTAAATGAAAGTGAAACTATAAGAGAAAAACATAACTCCCAATGCAAAAGAGTAGCCTCTACGATGCCTATGCATAAAGTGATTCGAGCTCATTCGACTATCAACCCTAGATATAAATAGTAAGTAGTCTTATCTTTATTTGGGGAAAAATAAACATGATCCCCTGAACCACCATGTTTAGGCAGATGATAACTTGATTGTATGATTTCAATCTAATGCTCTTAAAACAATCTGCCATAGCTGTGACTAATATACAAAATGAAGACAAAGTTGAATAACAGACTAACTTATTGGAACCAACAGAGAAAAATTTTGGGCCTGCAGGCTTCCAGTGAGTTGAACTACCTTCTTGGGCTTGGCCTACCTAAGGACCAAAAAATAATGCCATAGACATCCACTGAAGAGTTATGGGCCATGAGTTGTCATGCTGCAGGGTATACCAGACCATCGCCTGGGGCCCATGGGTTTTTAGGAGCCCATGGAATGAGTGTCGGGCCTAAAATCACAGAATGTATTATGTTGTCAACGCTCACCACCGTAGTGAGAGGGCCCATAGTTTAAGCATGAAACCTTTCATTAATTTAAAATTTAACCTTATCAAACTATTGTCATTTTTTTAATTTAACATCAAATGAATATTTAGTTTTATTAAAACAACATACAAATTTATTCAATTAACATTAAATTCAATCAAATTAATACTAAATTAATATTTAAATTTATCAAAATTAAGATCAAATTTATTCAATTAATGATAATTTTAAATTTTATATATGAAGTATGATGTGTAAGGAGCGGTCGGGGCGACGTCGTGGAGTACATATGATAGCAGAGAAATTAGAAATGGATGAGATTTTGATATTGACTTTATCAATTGTAATTTTTATTATAGAAAAATCATTTTTAATTATAAAAATTATTATGATAAAAAAATATAAAAATTATAAAAACTTGATTATGTAATCAAATGAGTGATAATATGATGACTAATATTATAACAAAGTTATAATACGACGTTTTGAAATAAAAAATTCATTGGGATAATATAATGATTGAAATTACGTTTGTTGGCTGACTAGCGCATATATAATGAGAAAAAAATTGATGATATTTTAGTCTATTTATATAATAAAGAGTAATTTTAGTATTTTCATAAAATATTTAGTTAAGTCATTATTTTATCTACTAATAGAAACAAAAGTTATTGTTATAAGGGTTGTCATTGAATTTAGACTCAATTACATTGTGTTTAAATGAAACTTTCTCTAAGATATAACATGCAGTTATAGTATGTTTTCGATCTTTGTACTGTATATATGACAATAAAGATGTGTGTGTGATATAAACAGTAAAGATGGAGAGCAACTGTATTAGGATAGAATTTTGAAAGACGTGTGTCTCAATTTGGAAAGAGAATCATGAAAGGTGAGAGTGTGAGAGACAATGAATGTCTCAGTATAGAAAGTAATCCCTTAACATAAGAAATAAAATCAGGAAAATAATGATAAGAGTTGTAATCTGTATTTTAGGGAGAGAGAGACAGAGTTGAGGAATGAGAGATTGCTTAATTGCCGGATTTGATTGGATTGTAGAATTAAATTTAGGGATGTTAGTTTTGAAAACTAAAAGTTTTGAGCTGCAAAAAAATTTCAAGAGCTAATATGGTACGTTGGATTGAAACGATCTAAGACGTCAATAGCTTGAGACAGTTTGAAATATCATCGGTCATTGGATGATGTCTTTTTTGATCTTGAAACGATCTGAGCCGCTCTTTATCTCTTGAATTCAAAATCGTTCTACTTTATTATATAAATATTGTTCTACTTTATTATATAAATATTGTGAATGATCAATCTCATTGATGGCCTCCTTATTCACCTATTTCAGAATGCAAGCAGAAATAGTCAAATGTAACCAACTGATTGACATGTTATCACTATTTTTTGGCTATTTTTTGAGCTACAGTTGGTGGTGGAGAGAGAGTTTTCCCTCTAAGGTCATGTAATTGAACTAGTTCTGCCCAAGCAGCTGAAGCTCCAAAACAAGCTTTGGAAGGCTCCATCAAGGGATGTACATTTTTTTCCAGAAGAACTTGATGTTTGACATTTTTCTCTCCATAGGAACATATGATTCTTAGTACTTACAAAACTTTTCTTGGTCTTGCTTATGGTGGCTACCAGTTAGAAAAAATTGTAGTTAAATTAGTCATGTTGTACCTCCAAACTATTTTGAGCATCTTGTAGATTCTTAAATGACTTTTCCGAACAATAATCCATTGTTCTGGCATGAATGATGTTTTATTCACCATTATTC